AATATTATAAAGATAATAATTAAGTATTCTGTTATAATTTAATGATTATACTAATTATATTTTAGATTTTTTATATTTAAAATGAGATGTTTATCTTGTATTTGATTGTGTTTATCTGCATTTAGTTACACGAATTCAGATATGGGATGAAATCGGATAGAGATGAAATTGTTTAGGGATGAACGGGTTTAAGAGTTTTTAAGAGTTTTAGCCAAATGCTTTATAATATAGTATAGATATATATATATATATATATATATATACACACACACTATAAGAGTATTCGTACAATGAAGCGAGACACATCTCGATTTTAATGTTTTATTTTATTATTTATCTCTGTCGATGTTATAATACGATTTTATGTGTTTTAAAAGAGCATTAATGATTTTATTTTTAAATAAAATATAAATTTGAAGATATCATAAAAATTTGAAGAAAAATATATCAATGTTAATATCAAATCAACTATTTAAAAGTTCTCATTTTTTATGTAATTTTTTAAATTTATTTTTGGTTTAATAATATAACATTTTATAAAGATGGTAATTAAGTATTATGTTAGAACTCAATAATTATCCTAATTATATTTTAGATTTTTTATATTTAAAATGAGATGTTTATCATGTATTTGATTATGTTTATCTGCAGTTAGTTACACGAATTCAGATATAAAACTTTAATAACTTGTACTTACGCACAATCTACTTGTAATCTTGAGTTTTAAGTAATATGCATTAATAAATAGTATTTTACGTATAAAAAGTGGTTTTTAAGAGTTTTTGTCAAATGTTTTATAATATAGTGTGTGTATATATATAATTTACTTTTTAAACAAAAATGAAAGAAAAGTGTATAAAGACTAAAATACCCCTAATTTAAGGAGTTCTTTTAACGACTGTTAGCGGCATAGACCAAATCCGGCCGTTTTTGCATACAACAATGATCGAATCTGTAATTTTGAAGCTGTAGGAACCAAAAGTATTACAAACAACAAACCAAAGAGACCAAATTGTAGTTTACTCTAATTAAAAAAATGGAGAAAATTTTATTTTATTTTATAAAAATTGGGTAATAATTCTAACTAGACATTTTTTAAATTCTATATTAAACTATCAAGATTTCAATTTTTGAATTGGAGTCTTGAATATTAACTACCGTGATCTGAAAGATATATTGTTAAGATTGTCCCGATTGCATTTCAAGACAAATTAACACGATTTTTGGTCAGTAAGGGCCTGTTTACCAAACATTTATTCAGTAAGTGTTTATCGGTAAAATTTAATACTATTATTTATTTATTGGGTAAGATTTTAGTCCACCAAAACGACATCGTATGCAACAATTTACCCAGTAAGCGCTTACCATGGTTAGAGTTGTCGCCCTCACTTACTGGGTAAGACTCTTGATCATCGTCTCGCTTTTACCGAGTAAGATTCTTGGTCCTTACCATATTCATCCGGTGAGGTAATGTTACTTGATAATCGCTTACTCAGGTAAGTGTTTCATAAATGGCCCATAAGTTTATTTGAAACTATTAAACAATAAATGAAAATATGATTATATATATTATATTATAAAACATTTGACATAAACTTTTAAAAACCATTTTTGAGGCATTAAGTACTATTTATTGATATATATTACGTAAAATTCAAGATTACAAGTAAATTATGTTTCAGTACAATATATTAAAGCTTCATATTTGAATTTATGTAACTAACTTCAGATAAGTAATCAAATACATGATAAACATCTTATTTTAAATAAAAAATTTAAAAAATAATTAGGATAATTATTCAGTTATAACAAAATATTTAATTATTATCTTTATAAAAATATTATAT